AGGTAAAAATAAAAACAGAAATCAAAAGAAAAAAGAAAATGACAAAATCAAGGCTGCGGTTGCTTTAAAATTCTTTTGATCACTTTTTATTAGCCACAACTCTCAGTGCATGAAATCATCATCATACAATCCCCTCTGATCGATTTCAACAATTCTGATTCAACAATATTCCTATTAATACTCTGTTTAAGTAGAGAACAAAATTAAATTGATATTCAAATTAATTTGAAAGAAAAATCTAACCAACAATCTTATCTCTCGTAAAAATTCTCAAATTACACAAACAAAATTATTATTATTATTGATCATGTTGAATATTTGGACCGATTTTCATAAGTTGGGACAAATTAAATATGCAACTCGTCATATAATATGTGATCAGATTTATAATTTTCTCATTTTTCACTTTAACCTCTAGCAATAATGTTAAAACTCCATTAAAATTACGAGCCATAGAACTAAAATTGCAACAGAAAATCAAAAGTTTCATCTTCACACACGTACAACACGATCAACCAATTGAGAAGAAATTTGTAATTTCGCCGCTATTTATTTAAAGAATAAAAAATAATATTGCAAAAAACGACAAGCAATTTCACACCTCAAAACTCCTCTAAGAGCATCTCTAATGCATTCTTTTGAAAGAGTAAAAAGTTATACACCTCATCTAGATAGAAAGTGTGTAAATAATTTATCCTCCAATGCATTAGATTATGGATCCTTTCATGCTTATGTGTAAACAATTAATGTTAACATTGTCAAGCTCACTTTCTAATTTCACACATTCTTTCTAACATGATGACTCAGCATTTTGATAATTATTTGACACAAATTTTGAGCTTTTTATAAACTTGGAAAAATCTCACCTTTACATTTATCCAAGAAAATTTTTGAGAATTTATTTGAATACAGTAGAATCATTTGATGAGTTACAACTAAAATTTAAAAATTATCAATAATAATATCCTGAAAAGTAAAATATTATGTTCATGAGATTTGTTTGTTCAGTTATTGCAATTTTAATGTTTTGTGGTTTTATTCGGAATCGATTAAAAAAATATTATTGTGTGGTCATACATATTGTAACTGAGAAATTATTGAATAAATAACAATTGTATAAATTTGATGATATAAATAAAAATTAACTGAATAAAAAAAAATAACATCATGCATATAATTATTGAAATTTGTGATTTTTTTTCTAATATACTTTTTTACTTTATTAATAAATAAATAAATCCACATATACAAGTTGTATGGTTGTTGAATGGATGCATTGTAGGTAACAATTCAAATGAAAGTCCTATTCTTTTAACATTCAATTAATGTAGATTAAACATTAATCCATTAATTGACATGTGTTCAAATTTAATTAATGTTGAAAGTTGAGCATTGGAGATGCTCTAAGCTCAAACCCCATTACCCCACAAATCACAGTATAATTTATATTTTTTATTATCCTTCATTTGACCTGATTAATTGCAACTTAGGAAGTGGAATCCAGTCCAACAACACATCTTTTTGGCTTTGACGTTAGCAAATCCAGCGCACGCTACTAAGTAATTATAATTAAATAAATTAAGGTTTTGTTGTGAGTTTTTGGAATTCATTAGTGGAACCTGACCGTAGGTCACTAGCAAGAGCTATTTGCTTTTCGAACTCCATTTAGTCACTAGCCATGTGGAAATTTTTTAATTATAATCATTGTTTTAGGAAAAAAAGAAAAAACGTCTTAACTAAATGGTAATTGTACAATTTATTTTGATGTGTACGAATCATTTTTTTCCTAGAAATATGAGTGCAATTAGGCATACTTTTTGTTTTTGCTTTTTTAGAAAAGGTGTTTGGAGTAAAGTTTTGAGAGAAAATAAAGAATTTAAAAGCTTTAATTAGGTGTAAATTAAATATATTTTACATATCCATAATTACTTTTTAAATAATAATAATAAAAAAAATAGGGACAATGGCCTACCTATTATGCACAGATGTGGCCTGATTCTTCAAAGGATCACTATTTCTACATAATTATATATTAATTATTAATTGAACCCTATATAAGGAGATCATTTTTTTCTTGTCCATTGACAAACAAGTAGCAACAAAAAAATAAAATAAAAAAATGTGGAGCTCAAATATAAATATATTTTGTTATAAATAATAAAGAGCAATTTGGAATTATATATTGTTTATATGTTTAAATATATAAATTCAATAGAACCTGCATGGGTGGATGAGCATACCTCTATTATTTTAATGGCATTGTTTATCATTCATTTAAAAAAATCAGGTAAATGAAGACAAAAATATCTTATATATATGCAACCTGCCTGGTTTTCTCAAACTACAGGAGCAGAGTGGTTTTATGTGGCACACAGACTTGTCTTTATATATATATTTTTAAATATGTAGAAAATAATAATAAATTAAAGAATAGAATATGATTTTACTCAACTTAATAAACCTTAATACAATTTCATGAGCCGCCAAACTTGATTTACAAAAATATGGGTAGCTTTCGTTTACTTCTATACCAAAAAAATATTATTATACATTTAAAAATCTAATCTTATGCCTATAGGATGGCAAACGAGTTGACAATATATTTTCTTGAATAAAATATTACAATCAAGTATGCATACAATGTAGTAATTTGTATTGTAATAGCAATTATTGTTATTATACATTTAAAATCTAATCTTATGCCTATATGATGGCAAACGAGTTGACAATATATTTTCTTGAATAAAATTACATTCAAGTATGCATACAGTGTACTATTTGTATTGTAATAATCGCTTAATTTTATACTTTCTATTGTACTAAAAATTTTCTTCCATTTTCATCAAACTCTATCTCTAAATTTTTCACCAGAATTAACAGATGATTGATTTAT